GAAAAACAGCACAAATAAAATCGAGGATACAGATTTAGCATTTATAGTTTACAGATAATGTTTAGTTTTGGCCAGAATTTGAAAGGTTGTGCAATTATAGGGAGAGAATTTAAATACTGTAGGTTTTGCATTTAGAGAAATGTATTTTAAAAGGTTTTTCTGTAGATTACACATGTAACTATCTGAAAAACGGTTTCAAAAACTCTGTGCAACACCTTTATAATATTTAAATGATACTTCCATTATTTGATTGAATCAAATTTCTAAGCAAATTTCATCTAATCAAAGTAGGATTTCTCTTTATTCAATAAGAACTAGAAAAAATTAGTTAATCTAAATAATTCAAGATTTATACAAGAAATTTTAAAAATCAAGATATAGGCTAGCTGATTGCAAAATTTCACTAATGACATATTTTAGATTTTGGTTTAACACTAGTTTAGCTAATCGAAAAGCATTATACGCATATGATATTATTTTAATTGGATACATCTGACTAATTCTGCCAGAGATTAAATGCTTATTGAATATATTAGTGCAATTTGATATATAAGCTAGAGATATGCTCTCAGAAATAGCAATTATCATTGTGCTGGGTATCACTGTCCACAGCTTATCAGTGATGCATAGCATCAGCTGGTAGTTTCCTATACTGCACAAAGCAGGCAGGTCTTGACAATAAGTTTTAAAGATACCCAAATGACAGGATTTAGTATGAGATGGGAGGTTTCAAGTGCGTATATTACTGAGATTTGGTAGGCATTATTGTTATCTTTCTTCAACTATCAGTTTACTTATTTGCATGAGTAACAGAAACCCAAAAAAGAAATTGAAATATTGTAAATAAACTAATTGCTATATATAAAATTTTTGTTTCCGATGTTTTTAATTAGTGCACCAAGGCCAATTTAAATATTAGTTTTGTGAATTTTCACTTTTTTTATATTCAGAATTCATGTCAAGCTGATCTGGAATAGTCGAGCTTTGTGCACTTTGATCAGTTATTTTTTTTTTAGGGTTTGTATTACTCATACAAATAAGCGCATGCGTTCTTCTATTTCTATATTTGTAATAGTGCTATTTTATTATTGTTATTATAATCTAATAATTCCAAAATTGGTTGCTAATTGCATGCACTTTCATATGGTGTTCGCTCATCTGACTGTTTAATTTAGCAATTAATTATTAGTACTAATAGAATTTAACTATTTTTCATTTATGCTTAAATTTAGATAAGTATTTTGAATGTTAACAAACAATAGATAAATATGTGAACTATTTATAAGTAAATAATATAAACAGAGTGAAATTAGTTAATGAATTAAAGAGTTTATCTAAATCTAAGCTTTAAATTAGTTGATAAATATAAAGATTTTGATTTTTTCTTTATATATTTACTTGTATTGTAAGTTACTATACAATTAATTTATTAATTTTCTTATTCGTATTTTGATTCAAGTCTATAAGTTTTAAATTGATAGAATAAGAGACCTGGATTTGAATCATTAATTCTAAAAAGGCTTAATTATTGAGAAATCAATTGTTAAAATTATAAACAATATAAACACCATTGAAATGCAGTAAGCTAACTAAAAGTATTTGATATTTTATAATATTAAAGGATAGCTTTATTCAAGTTATAAATAAATAAAGAAAGTTATTTATAATAATTATTTATTATTATTTTATTAATATGGATATATAATGAACAGAATACATCTTAAATTATACTTTAATTACAATGTCAAGTAAAAAAAAAAGAGAATGTTCATATCTTCCTATTGAAATAAATCTATTTACTTTAGTAACACAAGATAAAAAGCAAGTAGTAGCTGATAATGAAAATTATAGTGAATTAGTATCAAACCTAGGATCTCAAAATAAAAGTAAACTGATTCATATAATGAAATTAAATCTATTAAACATCCTTGACTTACCAAAGAAAATTTAAAGTGAAACTCTAACTGGCTTCAATTTTATCTATGGCTTAGAGTTGAACCACCAATAAATCCTTCAATGTTATTCTGTAAATGGTATAAGAAAGCAAAATTTAATAATGTTTTTACTGAAGGTACAAGCTGGTTTAAAGAACAATATTTAATTCAGCATTTAAATTCAAAAGATCATCAAAAAGCACAAGAAATTGAAACATGTATTCAGTTAACTATTAATAAAAGTATTAGAAAGC